TGTGCGATCAATATTTTTCAAGAAATAGAATTAAATTTATATTATATAATAAATTTTAATCAAGAAAAAGTAAGAGATAAGAAAATTAATGCGGATAATTTTTGTATTTTTGTGAATATCCTTCTGAGACTTAACGTACAGATACAAACATGCGTAAGATATAATCGCAAGTAATTAGAGGGAAGTTGTGGGAATGATTCGCGTTCTCTCGACAGCTGCTACGCTAATCTAAATTCTCATAAACTTTAATCGCGGAAAGCATGAGCTGTAGAGCGTAATAGCGGAAAGATACAAGCGATTCGCGATCCGCTCTATTTTCGCGACGGCGGTGTGAAATCGTCGTGAAATTATTTCATTGAGATTCGACGATTATCGAAACATTTCGTTGCTCGGACACGCGATATCGCGTGGCATTCTTTTTATTATTTGTCGCTCCTCCGCACCTTCTGCATGATGGATTCAATATCCTCCGTCGTGAGGAATCCTCTCCATTGTGTCCGCATGCGGAACTTTCGTTTGGCATTCGAATTGGAATTGCACCACGATCTTTATATCGATCGAAGTTTAATAAACGCTCTAATCCTGAATATCATTCACGAAGAACTTCAATATCCCTCAAATCGAAATCCTCCCGATTGTATCCTATCACCTCATATTGGTGATATACAATTTAACCTACGATATTTGACCTATGTTTTTTATTACATTTTTATCACATTTTTATTCAATATAATATTACTTCATAACTGCCGTAAAGTAATTTCCTAAATAAGTTTTCTTATAAAAAAAGGGGAAAAAAGAAAAGAAGAGGTAGGGAAAAATTAATTAATAATAATTGATTCTTAAATTATACATATATGAGATTTGTTGTCAACGTTGTTAAAAGATATATGTCAAAGCGTTCATTTTGTTACAAATATATTCTCAAAATTATTTAAATGTCATTTGTTATTTTAATTCGCGGATACTTCGCAATACCCTTCATATTTAATAATCGGAATAATAGATTATAAAAAAGTCCCATGCTTTGATGGGCTTTGACTCGACTGTCGATCGACAGATTTTCGTTTAAATTTTCATCGTTTCAGCAAAGTACAGTCTGGGTCTTTTCAATTATGCGTTCCGAATCGAATGCTACGGTGTGCGATACCGTAGAATCCTTTTCAGTCGAGAGCTAATGGATTGGCAAGAATAGAAACTTCACGTGGTTTTGCGATCGTTGGCTCGATGTAGCCGATCAAATGTTTTCAATTCTATTTTCCGCGAACCGCGTTTTACCCTCTCTGTCGATGCTGAAATAGTTTCGGAGATAGACGTCGCTGAAAACAACGTGCCATTTTCACATGATAACTTTTTAATCCGCAACATATATCGCAGGAAATATACATACATCGCTGCAACTGACGATGTATCATAATTATCTCATGTTAATAAAAAGAAAACGATATGTATGTCTACATATGTGAAAAATCAATAACCATTACAACAGGATATAATTTTTGACGCGTTCTATTATAAATATTTTAAATGAAAAGTTTAATAGAAACGTTTGTATGTATCACGTATCGAAATTGTATTCATAAATTATAAGCCAAAAACTAAACAATCTCTTGATGTCCTAATTCCGATTTCGAATATTACCTTACACTACAAATGCAAATATAGACATAAGAAAAATTACTGCCAGCTTCAATCATTAATCTTACAGCCGGTATCGAATGCCATCCGAGTTCATTGTCTCGATTTCCATCAAATTCGTTCGCGCACTAGAAGCGATCCTTACTCGGAGGCGCTCGAGCGATCACAAAGGGTGCTACAAAGTAATTTACTTTCTCGATAGAAAAATAAAGAAGAAACGCAAGAGAGGTATGCAACGAGCGAATTGTGTTGAATCGTGGAGCTGTTTAAAATCTATTTGTGGATTGTACGACATCGAATTGTTCGATACCGTGAATTATACGCTTTTCCAGCTTATAGATCTGTAATTGTAAAATAATAAAGTAATAAAATATTTTCTTGCATAAAAGTGACGATATTCACCTTGAGTTAATAGTTCTCTCACTTATAATAAATTCAATTGAATGCACTCAGTGCGCAGAGGTGCATATTAAAACCATCGTATATAAATAGATGTAAAAATACAAATTTAATGTAAATATAAATAGCTATCGTATCTCCTGAAAAAATGGATTAAATCATAAAATCCTTAACACTTTTTACTGCACTATTGAGTAAAACCAATACTTTATAATTCGAAATATTTATAATAATAAATGATTTATTAAGACTGTATAATGTGAACATTTATATTTTAGACAACGAATTAGAAATAATGGTCGTAAATGGTCAAGATCTTTAATAATTCAATGTAAAGTTAGGTATATACCACATCTAATGTAGTAGTTATTTCTGATTTGTTGTGTATTCACATTACGGTCTTAAAAAATACTCTATTTAATATTATTTATATTTTACTATTACACGATTTAAATCAGTTTATGGCTTTAATATGCACTCTTGTACACTAGTACATCCAATCAAAGTCACTATTAGAATGGTATTTGAATTCTATTATAAAACATTATTTGATTATTGTAACATTTGTTTTCTACAGTTATTTTATTGCACATTCTAAAATTGCATGAATAATATATTAGAAACGGAAAATTTAGGAATTGGAATAATGAAAAAATAATTATTACTACAAAGATCAAGGTAAATATTTCGGTACTCCGTCTTCAAATTCAATGCTATTAGATTTAACGTTAACAGTTTTAATATCGAATAGAGATCTTCAGTGCATTCCAGTTTTGTCTAGGGCACATTCTAAAATTGCATGAATAATATATTAGAAACGGAAAATTTAGGAATTGGAATAATGAAAAAATAATTATTACTACAAAGATCAAGGTAAATATTTCGGTACTCCGTCTTCAAATTCAATGCTATTAGATTTAACGTTAACAGTTTTAATATCGAATAGAGATCTTCAGTGCATTCCAGTTTTGTCTAGGGTTCTAGGCTGATGACAACGTCGTGAGGTTGGCTCTCCTCGGTTCGCTAATCCGAAATAATATACCGTTGACCCAGTTAGCGGCGCAACAGCAATTAGACATTCGCGCGGTAGCAGACGAGGCGGGACCAGCGTGTTGATCGATCCTTCCTCGTCGCTGGGCGTACTCACGTAAATTCCCGTCGTTAATACCCGCGTATCGGCCACGACGACTGCGTCGACATGGACATGAGTTACGGTTTCGAAGTCGCTTACCTGACAGGAAAGGAATTGCTTGCTCGAGTCAAACAGCAGCAGCAAGAATTTCAAAATGGCGAAAATAATCCGATCATAGATGTTTCAATAAAAAGTCCGATTTGCAACAATGATAAGTAATTTAATACTTGGCTCAAATAATCGCGTTAGTAAGAATCCACTGTTATTTGCAAATTTATTTGTAAACAAATAAGTACACGACAGACAACCTTATTTGTTTAAAAATTATTTATCTATCATGTTTGAATTAAATAAAGTTTACATAAATTTTCAGATAATTTCATTAAAAAAAGTGAATCAAAAAGTTTAGACAAACTGTATATTTGGGTTAAGTAACTGCTATATTAGTTACATAAGGTTGACATCTCGGCGCCAGTTGTCTCCTCTGTAAATAGAAAAAATTTCGCTGAAAGTACGGAAGCTTTTAAAATATTGTTTTACTGGCGGTTCTATTATCTCGCTTAGCAACTTTGTTGCATAATTTGGTATTTAGTAAATGCGCATATAAACTCATGCTCTTTCTTATCTTAGGATATGTTAAAGTTGAGAATCTACAGAGATGTGGAGAGTAAAAAGTAGTCTTAATTTATTATCTTAATTTTTTTATTGCAAATTTATAGTCACACAGATGTCACAGACAACATCCATAATAATTACAAAATAATTATATTCGAATTCCATTTTGTTGTAACATAGAAGTACATAAAATTACATATTAAACAAACTGTTAATTTACATTAATAACGTTATAGTTTAATCATTGCAAATTACGCGGTCAAATTTGTAAAATATAAAAAATCTAAATTATTTATTATTTATTTCTTACAAACCAAACTTCATTCTAGATTGAAAGTAAGGTGTAAGTTTAACTTTTTATTGTATTACTTCTTTGGTGATAAAACGTTAAAAAATGTGTTAAAAACAAGTGCCGCCGGGTTTGCTGTAATTGTCGCAATTCTGTCATGTAACGTTTTCGTTTTTGTAATAAAGAAAAGAGAACAATCCGCTTCATCCAAGTTTAAAATTGGTCAGTTAACTCGCTTAATCATCGCATTCGCAAAATCGTCGCGTAATAACGTGGTTCGCCATTCTATTCGTTTGAACTTCGTTAAATTCCGATCGACGAATGAAATGTGAAGTACCTCACGATTTCCGAAGCGTGCGATCAATTCATGATCCATGACGGCGCGCGATTTGCGGCCGCGAATTAGCACTCTAATACACGTCGAAAATCAACGCCCACACTACGCCAAGTGTCGGCTTACCGTTAATCGGTTTGATTCCACACGAACACTTTAACATCGTTACGCATCGCGGTTCGCGATCATAGGATTGTTCGCTGTCGTGCTTCCGACTCGTATCGCCATTACAGTTACGTAAGGTTGCAATTATCATCGCATTTGCATTATCAGCTTCGTTGTAATATTCATCGTGGAACGGATAAATCTCTTTCGCGATCTCAAACATTTTATAGCTTTAGAAAAGAATAAAAGAAAATATCAAGAGAATTTTCAAAGATTAAATTTCAGACGAAAATGTACACTTTACGTTAATTTACATTGAATGACATTATTTTTATATTCAAAGCAACGAAATTTTTTGCGCGGCACTCGGGAAGGGAGAGACGGGAAGAAAAGAGGGTTGAATCCGTTACTTGTACCCATAAATCCGCCCGCACACTAAGTTGTATCGTTCTTGGTGCAGAGTATGCTATACACCGGGAATTGCACGTAACGAAGTATAGTCTGGCAAGGTGTAACACAGCGACTTAACTTAGAGTTTCGCTTGTGTGTTAGTGTACATGGCATATCAGGATTTATGCAGTCTCTCACGCCTACACATTTTGGGGTAGTTTTGTGGATTTTTTTTCTTAAAAGTTAACGAAACTTGACGAGAAGCCATCTTTTCTCATAACTTTTTAATTAAATTTCAAGTGAAAATTTCTCTAACTAATATGATTCACTTGGAATTAATTGTAGAGAAATTTAATCCAAGAATTAATTAGTGAGCTGTGAAAAATACTAATTTTTCAAAAAGAATTTTATTAAGAATGTTGATTAACTTCCAAGAGTAAAAATCAATAATAGAATTGTGTATCCTAATTAAATTGCACTGTAATTTATTCTAATAATAAATAATAGAAATTTTATTGATTAAGGGATTCCCAAGCGGTGCTTTTTCACGCGAATGTCAAGAAAAATAGTAGCTGATCTACATCTTTTCACTTATTGTTAGATACGTGGTTCGCGCGGCCGAAAGAGGATACAAAGGGGCCGGGCGGGTCGTTCATAGTGGAGAAATCGGGGGATCATGATGTCCCCCATAATCGGGGAAACGCTGCGCGTATGGTTTTTTTCGGCGCTGGTCGTTCACGGAGCCGTTGCCGGGAATCCGGACGCGAAACGCCTCTACGATGATCTGCTGTCCAACTACAACAAACTCGTGCGCCCCGTGGTGAACACCTCGGACGTGCTGCGCGTATGCATCAAGCTTAAGCTCTCGCAACTTATTGATGTGGTAAGTGAATTTTTTTTGAAACGTTGTTAAAAACTAAAAAATAATCCTACAGTAAAAATCCCCTAAAATTACATTGGTGACATAATTGCTGAACTATAATCTATAATAGCTATCGTGAGCAAGTTCAGACAATTTTGACGATATTGACACATATAATCAAAGAATCTGCTATTAATATAATAGTCGATCGCTGGTTATATTCATAATCGTAGAAAATATTGACATAATAATTGGCAAGTACTTGTTATAAATCAAAATATATTCGTGAATAAAATAAGTCACGATATATTACATCAGGAGATAGCACCATTAGAGATTTTCAGTAATCCTATATTAGCGCCAATTAAAAACGTCTTGTAACTTTTAAACGTTTTTAGGTATGGTATACTTACTCTGCTTTCTTTTGCCAATGCTTTTTCGGTGTTTTTTCCATTGCCTATAACTTTTTTATTAATAAAGAACATACATTTGCTTGGTACTTTTCTTTAATGTCTGAAGTTTGATATTCCTATTCTTTAATGTCTGAAGTTTTACATAAAAAATTGTTTACAATATATTTATTGTTACAAAAATTATAAATAATCGAATTGGGCTAGGTATGTCATACCTAAGTACAATTATCCTCGAATTGTGGCATTAAATAACTGATGTACATACAATATAAATTTATAAATCTCAATACACAAAATATAATAATAATATAAAATCAATAATTCAAACAAAAAATTAAATTATAGAAATTTTTTTGCAGAGTTAAAAAAAGATAAGCGCAATTCGTAGAACAAAATCTGTTACAAAGATATTTTATAACTTATCTTCAATTTTTCGAAAAAAATCTCATTTTATTTATTTAATCCTTGCCATTCGACCACTTTTCTCGTGGTTTGTAAAAGAATGAATATACATATATGTAGAAGCGTTGTCTTTTCTTCTACTCCACGAAGTAATAGTAGTTATCTACATCCAAAATATCTGTATAGAGTGTCCTTAAACTTTGCTTATATTGCATACTCTCTAAGACAATAGTTAAACTTGTGCAAGTATTAAAGTGTGTGTTATAGCTATTATAAAATCAATAGCTTATAAAGTCGACAGACGTTCTAGAATGGCTAATTTGCGATTCAGGTTAAAATACTCCCCTGGGAACTGTCGTAGAAATCCAAATTGTCGCAAAAGAAAATTGCACGAAACTCGAGTAATTGGGATAATTATACTTAGGTGAATTTTGACGAAATTTTAGTTAGTGTTGTGATTATGCTTCGCAAAGTTAAAGCATAAAAGCTTTTAGAAACATGATTTAAGATCTTATTAGTAGGTTACACTTATTAATAATTTAATTAACTAATAGCATAATTAATAATATAATTAATTTGCGATATAATAATTTAATATCGATAATCATATTCCATGAGAAAAATATTCGATTACAGATAATAAAAATTTTTCTTGTTTAATTCTACGGAGATATTTGTGAAGTTTAAAATTTTTTTCAGATCATGATATATATATATATATATATAATCCAATATAGTACTCAATATATCCAGTATAATACTTAATGCTTAAGTTAGTGACACTTATGTAAAATCAGTTAACAAGAAGCAAGGCATTACACTTGTTTGTCACTAGAGCAGTACACGCGATTAACGTATAATGAGAATCAGAGAATATCTTCCTGCTCAGTAACTCCGTCAGAAGTTCATACCTATACATTTAACTACTCCTGCGTTTGTTTGGCAACAAAGCATTTACGCCTAATAACATGTGCATAAATTAATTAGCTAAACTGTTAGATTGCGCTTTCTCTCGGTTTAAATTCATCGTCCATACAGTTGACATTTAATAAATTGCTTTATCAAATTCATTTATGACCTATTAGTGATGTATCTTTCCAATGGAAAATGATATGAAAAACAAATACATATTTTAACTCTGCTATACAGCCTTTTTACAGTGTTTTATCAAACGATATATTAATCAAATAAAAAAACAAATATAATTTTATTAAAATTTTTGAAATTTTAGGAGGAAATTAGAAAGTCAATTACGTATTAATACTTTCCTTTACAATTCGATGACCGAAACATAAAAATTCAATATGACATGTAATATCATAATAGCTATTTTACAATGTGCTCTTTGTTTCCTGTTTCTTGTTGTTTGTCTCTGTTTGTCTCTTGCCTTTTGGTCAAAAAGGCAAGAGACAAACAGTAAGAAACAGGAAACAAAAAGCACATTGTAGAATGGCTATAAGAGTTTATCGCGACATACAAGAACAAACATTGATTAATAAAACGTATACTGGGATACAGGGCAATTGAAAATTTTGTTTAGACAAGTTTGGGAAAAAATTGGCGGATACACAAAACCATCAATAATATTCTCGAAGTAACACCATGCGTTCATTACATAACGTTGAAGAATAATATTACCATTTCAGTCTCGTAAAAATGTACGCCAGGACAGCAATTTCTTCAAATTATCGATCGCAATTGAAGTTCGCGGGAACTCCCGTCGGGAACGTCTGAATAAGATAAGATATATATATGCATTCGACGTTGCGACTTACTGGCAAAAATTTCAATATAATATTTGAATTATTCTAATCTCAAACTGCAAGTGTAACTATTCAGTAGTATTATGCGTGTGAAGAAATAAATTCATTTATAAAAAAATAAAGAAACGATTTTACATAATAATTTATTTTCCTGTCTATAATTTTCCTTTGTTCTGTATTATTTTACGAAAATTACTTTATAAAGACAGAGAGATTGAAACCAAAAATAAATTCTTATGCAAAATCTTCCTTTTATTTTTTAACCTTAGTAATTACTAATATTAGCAGTATTAGTATAATTAATATTAATATTGTTAATATTGTTATTATTAGTACTTATAGGTACTTATATTATTTAAATTATATTAATATGTTATAATACAAAATATATTTCTACAGTAATGCATAATTTTTGAAGAAATTACTATAACTTGGCTAACAATAAAGCTTAATATTCAATCAGCGTTATAGTGGAAACAATTTGCTTTAATGCACAAAAGAAGAATTTGCTCGTCCGGAGGGAAAACTCATTAAGAATTTCTGGTGTAATAATCCAAATTACTTAAACCTCCACGGTCGATTTGTGTGACCCCTCGTGACTCTTTGCTCCCTCTCGGAAACGCAATTTTAGCGATACGCAAATGTATTATTCACGGAAAAGGATATTCTCACATTTTACTTTTACAATCCGACATACGGAAAACCATTATCTCGACTTAATGCCGGAACTCGGCAAATCCACCACGAAGTCGTCCTTCTCAGACGACTTATAGACCCAGTAATTATGCACGTATGTCACAGAAATTTCCACGTGACTCATTCTGCCGTAATTATATTTCCCGAACCACGGGATCCGCGCACACAGTGCATAATTATACGGCAATTTACGTGACCACAAGCATTGTAAAATACGGGGCTTTCGTGCTACTGTCGTCTGCGCGCGAAAACTGCGAGCACTGCTTCTTTCGAGGTAAAATTTTATACGAAGCATACGTTGTACGAAGCATACGCTATATTAACATAATTCTGCAAATGTCGCATTAAAATTTAACCAACTTCACAGTAATAATTAAATATAATTATAGAATGTTGAATAATATTTCATGTATTACAATTTGTTACAATATTCGACGAGTATCGACAATCGCTCAAGAGGATGAAGTGAAGCCTGAATTCCGACGGAATTGCTGTTTTAATAAAATACCAACACATTCTTTACATACTACTACATCAATGTCGCACGCATACATTCATATAAATTTTCGTAAAACAATAGCGTTTTAATTAGACGTCTAAATCTAATTCCAAGAACTCGACGTTGTTTCTTCGTGTAATCTACTATAGTCTGTAGTCTCCAATCTCATAAGTACAGATTGCAGAACTTTTATATTAAGGAAATGTTCTTTTTAAATCTGAATCAGAGGATACTATTTATTTTCCCTTAGCACTGAGTAATCAGTGAAATTCAACTGAAAAAGAAAGGATATGCTTGAGTATTATGTAATTAAAATACCGATATTTATATGTCAGCTTCAATATCATATACATTGAATTTATATATACATTAAAGCAAAGTTAACTAAGTTAGGGATTCCAATTTCATTGACCTTTTAATTGAATTTCACTGTAAGTTCACTGATTACTGGCATAATTGAGACTGATATCAGGGATTATTCATTAATTCAAATTTAGAGAGTCGTTACGACTTGACAGTTCAAGACGTCATATTGGACTAAGAAATAATAAACGTCCTAATTTAAAAAATTGTCTTTCTCGGTATCAATTCCAAGCTGCAGAAACGTATTATTGCGTATACTTTAATTCTAGAGAAGGATTTCCAAATCTCTAAAAGTAATATGTATAATATGCGATATCGTTATACGAAAATTATTGTTCAATCAGCAAACGAGATGACTTTAGGATTTCTTTAAATAGTTCAAACTTAGCGTTCATTAGACTTTCGGGTTTTCTAATTTTTCTTTAACTTTTGTTTTTCATGAAAGAAGAAACAAAAATTAAATAGTGAACGTTGGAGATGAAATTAATATAAAAACGATGGCTTCAGAAAGTGTGATGAGTACGATAGATTATCGCAATCTCGAATATTAAATACTAATCTCCTTATGCTTCTGGAGTATCTCATTAATGATTAATCCGGGAGAACAGCTACGTATATTAAGCGATAAAGGAAACATTATCTATTTAAGACTCAGTTTGTCAAAAAATCTTGCCGAAAAGATAGTTTACACTTCAACGAAACGTGGCGGCCATCGTTGCAAATGCAATCTCGTGCACGGCATCGAATCGATACTTCGCCATATCTCACGAGTCACTGATGGATGCTTTCACGCCGCATTCGATCAGCACCGCGGTTTCTTGCGTGATCAAAGTGCGATCACGCGAGTTCTCATTTTCTCGGGATAGCTTAAACTTTACGAGCACC